TCTTGCAAACCACACTCTTCTCTTATTACACAATTTCTTACCCTGTCATTAAGATTCAGCCCTAACATACTCCTTAACGACCGCATTTCTACTGCGTTCATTCTACTCTCGTGCTTCTTCTGCCACACCCAACTTTCACTACCATATGTTAAAGTAGGGACCAACACAGCATTGTGAATTGCCATACGTGCCTTTTTCGACACATTTTGACTCTTCACAATAGAGTGCAGGGCCCCATTTACTCTATTTCCCGCATTACATACATACATACATACATACATCTATATATATATATATATATATATATATATAGCTGTCAGGCAGACGTTGTTCTGCCCTTTTCGACAACACTGCCACGTCCTATTAAAAATCCTTAAATTCGCAAAAAAAAAAATTGTGTGTTGTGTTGTGCAAATTTGATTAAAATCGGTTAAGTAGTTTAAGAGTCCATCGCGGACAAACAACGTAACACGTAATTTATATATATTTCTAGCTTGCCAGGCAGACGTTGTTCTGACCGGCCCTTTGTCACGTCCAATTAAAAAACCTTAAATTCGCATTATTTTTTTCTTACAATCGTATGTCTTTAACGGATATATTTGCAATATTTTATTAATTTGATTATATAAGTATTCTGATTGTTTTTCATATTGAGTTTTCGCAAAGTTGGTTTTCGTACTGCATACAGGAACTACGCTATAATTTCTTCTTTTACTACCGTAAGTAGGATTAAAAGACAAAGACTTAATATATTTCTTTAACAAAGTGTGTAATATGTACAACTGTCTCACCGAAATCAGCCCACAAGATGAATACAAAATGCTAGTGGAGAACCTATGTGGCTTAAAATGTATAACTTTCAATAAACATCTTTGGGCTGTCTCAACTTCAATAAATTTACTTTTATAAGTACCCCCCCAAATAGGTATATAATATATTATATAAGATTGAGCAAGCGCTACATAAATTTCATTTAAAAGATCTGGACAAGAGACATATCTTAAAGTTTTAAATATCCAAGTGAGTTTTCGAATTTTACTAGACACTAATTCGACATGTTTGTACCAGGAAAGTCGTTGATCCACTATAACGCCCAGATACTTTATGTATGAAACTTTTTCAATACATGTACACGTACAGTTACCGCTGGAAGGATTGTAACATTTATGTATTTTGAGTCTAAAATCATCCTTTGGCTGTGATCGGGTAGTTATAGAAAAACATATGAATTGAATTTTATTAACATTCAAAGCAAGTAAGTTATTCTCAAGCCAACGAGCAACCTTAGTAAATTGTTTTCCCGCTATCAATTGCACTTCTTCCCAAGTGTCTCCCCAAAATAATATATCGCAGTGTCATCTGCGTATGAGAAAACTCTTCCTCTATTCGCACTCATACTACACAGATTATTAATATACACTAAGAATAACGTAGGGCAACTGTATTGTTGTTATAGTTGCAGCACGAACGGTTCGGCTCGACCGGGGTGGGGCCACGCTCTCACAGAATACCAGCGTAAAATAGCAGCTTAACGCTACTGCGTTTGGTATGGTAAGTGTAGAGAACCGGACACCCTCCTGTTTACTGGAAACGAATCATTCCATCCTAGTCCTCACGGGTGATAACGCATTTGCATTTTGATTCGTAATCGAGGATAGATGTAGACGTCTGTGGGCCACAGCAACCACTTAATATCAGGTAGATTGTGTGCTCGTTTCCCACCTTTATCGTGTGATGTGGGTACTATGACAAAGCAATGTAACTAGAATCGTCACACAACGTGGACTCCATATAAGGAGTCCGCGTGTCTTCATGAAAGGTAGAAATAATATCTATTTAGTTCATTAATATCATATTATATTTATAGAAGAAGACACCATTCACGTGTCTCTATCTGGAACCACGTACCACAAACCCTACCCCCTACCTATGTCATAATTACTGTATATAAGTCTCCTTCAAATCAATAAAGAGTGGGGTTGTAAATTGCATCAGTGAGTTTAATTTCTTGTCTTGCACCTCACATTACAATCTCTTATTATTATAGTACAGTCATGCTTTATTAAAATATAGTAGAATCAGCTAACTTAGACTTTTAATGAAGAGTAAAATATAACTGAAAAACCCTTTTACTGATAACACGGTATTCTATATTTGTCCTCGGGGCGAAATTGCATCTACATTTTGATTCTTAATCGAGGATAGGTGAAGGTGCCTATGGGCCACGGCATTCACTAACCATCACATGTACTGCATGCTCGTTTGTCACTCTTATTCTTTAGAAAATGATGGTTATATATGAATATTCCCAAAAGTATAATATGCGAAATATCCAGACTGTGTACCGATAACTGGAAACGAGACATTCCATCTTAGGGCTACCACATACCTTCGGAATTCCGTAAATACATCACACACATGCTTTTATTTCCCTTCAGAATAACAAGGCTCAGTTGAGAGATGCTATGCATTGAGTCCCAAACATTCTGCCATCGTATATGGACGACTTTCAGATAGCATTATTGTTGTATCTTGTTAAGAAGAAGAATATTTCGCCGCCAGCTGTAATTAGGTGTTCGACGTTACTCATCGCGCGTGCAAAATTCACGTGCACAGGAGCTCAAAGTACATGAACACACCTCTGCACTTCGGCCGTGCCACGCACACTGGGCGCGTTCCGTACGGAATTTACAAATGTGTGATGGGACTCATACAAAATTTATGGAAGACCTGCATTAGTAACGGCTATTTTCCGCGCGGGATTATACATCAGATGGACTGTGTGTTCCTTTGTCAACCTTAGTCTATAAAAAAGTGGACTAACCTTAAAGTTTCCGCCGTTGAGCCAAGTGATAAGCGCGTCAACCAGCTGCGCAGCGAGATCGTGCGTGATCTCCGGCTCGCGGCGGACAAGCGCGACGAGCTGCTCACCGAGCAGCTGCCGCAGCCGCAGGTCCGGCCGGCTAAGCAGCGGCAGCGCCGCCTCCAGCGATGACGGCTGCGGATAGTGCGCCATCTGTTGAACAGGAAACGATACTATAATGGTATGTCAAAGAGGGCATACAAGACTTTTTGCCACTATGGAGGCACTAATTAGGAATGAGGTGAAATATTTGACAGATTTCATAGCGGGGGAAGTTAAATTGAAAAAAGTAGTTTTTTCGTGGTAGAGCCATGCTGCAGTTATATTGGTAGTTGTAGCACAAATGGGTCGGCTCGACCGGGGAAGGACCACGCTCTCACAGAATACCAACGCAAAATAGCAGCTTAATACTGCTGTGTTTCGTATGGTGAGTGTAGGGATCTGGAGACCCTTTTTTACTGGAAACGAGGCATTCCATCTTAGTCCTCAGGGGTGACGACGCATCTGCGTTTTGATTCTTAATCGAGGTACAATCAGGTGGACTGAGTGCTCGTTTGTCACCCTTATTCTATATAAAAAAAAGTTCTGAAATATTATTTTTAATTAATTAGATTTATAATGGATAAACCAAACTACGAATATTCCTAAAAGTTAGATTTTAAAAAAGTTAAAAATGTGTAAAAAAAAGTAAAGAATACGTCATTAAGGCATTGTTTTGTGTACATCTACAACTGAAAAACTTATAATTAAATTTTCATTTTTATTTTTAATGATTATGATTACCTTAGACCCAGCTAGCGAGCGAGTAGCGGACATCCGGTGAACGTAATATTAGCACAGGTTCAAGCGTCTGTAATACATTGTATTTAGCAGACTTCTAAGAAAACGGAGGAGGTTTACAATTCGACGACATGTTTTTGTATGTATGTAACACGATATCTTCGGTCAATTGTGAACCGATTATGATTATTCTTTTTTTATTAAAAATGTTATACGTCAGGGTTGTCTCATATGTATTTCGGATGCAGTTTTTAATGTAACTATTTGTACAACATTGAGATTGTGATAGACGTTGATATAAATGACAAGATATGGTCGTGCGAATAAAAATTTCACGGTTTAAGCATAGAATAAATCAACGCCGTCTCTTATATACTCATGAACTACCACTTATACTACCCTAGAACCTGTAGAAATACTCCCTAAATCATCGTAAAAAAACATAATAGGGTTGTTCTTCTTTTTAACCTACAATAATGCGTCTCCACTAGTCGACCAAAACAAAAGCTTAGAGAAATCCTTCACCATTTAATTTTTTTTTATTTCAACATGCATTGTACTTATGACATAAGCGGTTGAACATATTTTATAAAGTGTGCAATTATATTTTTGTGGTTACATTTACGTTACAGAGTTGTAACTCCGCGTGACAGAGTTGTATTTCATACATATTCGAGTTGTCTCCCATCGCCCCGACTTGCGCATTTTCCAGAATAATACAAAAAAAATTATATGACAACATAATATAGAAAACTATTTTTTTATCCTAAAACATATAATATTCCAATGTGTAGTATTTATTTTTAATTGAAATTTATAACAAATAGCATAAAAAATCTCAAAAGCTTGTCTCTTACTACAAATGTTTTAGTACGTCAATTCTGTCACGTGGGTTATAAATTCGAAACGAGTGTCCGCGCTGCTCGTCTTCGGTGTTGTTGATCGGAAATTAAGGCCTCCCGATCCCCCGCTACGATTTCCCCTATAGCATCCACGGGACCGCGGGCTAGTCGCCCGTTAGCTGTGGAGGGAGGTGCGTGTGTTTATTCGGCTACTCTTTCGTCACGTAAGTAATCGTAATAAAATACGGCAATTATAATTATTTTACATTATCCACTCTTACGTAATGAGAAATACTTGCATGCGAACATGTTCATCATACATTTTATGTTAATATTAAGATATTATCGAGTGTGCAACGAAATTTTACCCCTCTGTCACATGACAACTCTGTCACATAACTTTTGTGACGGAGTGGTAATAAAAATATTTTCAGTTATTTTTTATTTTGAATGTATTTCAGTGTGTCAGCGTTAAATAGGGATAGGAAATTATATTCTATCTTTTTATTTTTAGCATGAAGACAAAAAAGCCATTATCAGCAGCAGAAAGACAGCGACGTTGTCGGGAGAAACGAAAAAGTGACCCAGAAAAGGTAGCAGAAGTAAAACGCAAGGATTTAGAAAGGTACCACGCTCGAAAAAAGTTGGTGGCAGATATGAACGCGAGAGAACATCGAATTATGAAGCGAAAATGGCAACAGGCTAATAAAAAAAGAAGAGAGAAGAAACAGATGCTTGAAAATGTACTGTTGGACACGCCGGCTCTGTCGCCGATACCGGAAAACCCACAAATAAGACCCCATTCTGCGACACCCACTCTATCGGAAGCGTCTAGTGCAAGGGGAAGAAAGAAAGTGAAAAGAGATAGATCAAAGATGTACAGAGATAATATTAAATTACAAGAAAAAATAGAACAGCTGGAGAAAAGAATCCGTAAATATAAAAAAAGATTACAACGAAAATCAAAAAGAGACAGCAAAGTGGAACATAATAGCAACGATGAAAATAAATATAAAGTCCTTTCTAATGCCATCAAAGAACGCTATAAAACTGTCAAAAGTCGTAAAGAAAAACGCCTCATACATTCTATTCTTCAAACTCCCATTACAAAAAAATCCAGAATGCAAACGCAGTTGGTAAGAGATGCTTTGGGCGTAGATCGCCCTCTAAAATACAAGTCCGTTCTACCAAAACAGACTAATCTCGTACGAAAAATACATCAGTTCTTTTTGCGGGATGATGTAACGAGAGCTACAGCTGGAAAGAAGGAGACCGTAACGCACAAAAAACAAAAAGTTCAGAAGAGATTTTTATTGGACTCAATGCGAAACTTGTACAAAGCTTTTTTAAAAGAAAACAGTGGCATTAAGTGTCACTACAGCTACTTTGCCAAACATAGACCATTTTTTGTGAAAGCACCTGCTGTAGATGGAAGGGATACTTGCTTATGTAAGTTGCATGCAAATATAAGCTATGTTGTGAATAGTCTACATTACAATAAAGTTATTATGCAAAAAGACACTAATGCGATCTTGGAGACACTAGTTTGTACAGTTGATTCGGAATCTTGTATGAAAGGTGTTTGTTCGAAGTGTAAGACCCGGGGCATAGTTTATGAAAAAAATAACCGAGAAAGAATTGTGCCACTACGTCAGTGGGTAACGAAAAACGAAGTTGTAGAAAAAGGTGGAAAAAAGATAAAGATTTCAAAAAATGTCCCTGTTACCGAAAATCACACTATTCAAGAAGTTATTAAAAAATTTGAAAATGAACTCATGAATTTCAGAACTCATGTCTACAACATCCGACACCAATACAAAGCATACCGACAGTGTATCTATGGTCTTACTGGAACTGAAGTAGCTTTACATATAGATTTTAGTGAGAATTATGCGTGTAAGTACCATTCTGAAGTTCAGTCTCACCATTTTGGTTCTCGTAATCAAGTTACCCTCCATACAGCCGTGATGTACAATTATTCTACTGAAACACAATCAATAGAAGTAACTTCATACTGTACAGTGTCTTCTAATTAGAACCACGGACCTTCTGCGATCTGGGCTCACCTGCACCCAATTCTTTCTGAAGTAAAAAATAAACATCCTGTTGTAACAACGGTTCACTTTTTTTCTGATGGACCTGCGACCCAGTATAAACAGAAGATTAATTTCTACCTAATGGCAAATAGGTTTTTCGAAAATTACGAGTTTCGTAAAATATCTTGGAACTTTTTTGAGTCAGGGCATGGGAAAGGAGCTGCCGATGGAGTTGGTGGAACCTTAAAACGCCAAGCTGATGCTATAGTAGCTAGAGGGGCAGATATTGCAGACGCATATGAATTTTTTTCTACACTTCAAGATGTCAGCAAAATTAAGTTGTTTATGGTGACAGACGAAGACATTGAAAATGTTGCAAAAACTATTCCCAGTAAAATTACACCCCTGAAAGGAACTATGCAAGTTCATCAGATGTTTACAGAAACTCGTGGAATATTAAACTATAGGATACTGAGTTGTTTTTGTGAACGGTTCTGTTCCTGTCACGGTCCTAAAACTTATCAGCCTACACTACCCGACACTGAAGATATAGCGAATCAGAAGTCTTCTTACGAAGAAGATGAACCTAATCTTGGAACAGAAGAATTTTCTCTTGCTGATATTACGAATAAAATTGGGATGCCTAGTAAAAGATTTTACGATATCGTGTATTATAGCCCGAGTGAATCATCCGATGAAGATCAGCCACTGGTCACATATAAAACTAAGGATTCTATCAATCCACTCGTGGTATCCGGTACTTCATACCAAACACTGCAGCCTCAGGACATTCATCCAAATAAAATAGAAGACAGAGTTTACGTTTTAGTTAAAGTACGAAGCGAGAGGAATATTCTCTACACTTACGCTGGAGTTGTTAAAAGTGCCGTCGACGAAGAAGGTGATGTTCTGGTAATGTTCCTTAAAACCATCGATGATAGTGGAAGACTATTTAGATTATTGGAGAATGACTTATCGGATGTTCCATTTGATGATTTGATTGAAATCTTACCTACCCTAGGTGTAGGTTGTTAGAAAAGGAAGAAGACAATTTTTTGGAGTTCGAAAAGCCACTGCCAGTATTCGAGAGATAAGGCTGATTAAGAGACCTAATAGATTGAGTTATTATTAATGATGATTATTTTATTTTAAGTTTTTAAATTTTTATTTGGTTGTGACAAGTTGCACAAGTGCTTTTTAAGATTTTTATTTAGTTGAGACAAATTATTAGTTTTTTAATTTCCTAAAATTTGAATCTTCCATTCCAAAGATTCTGAAATGTGATTTCATTAGTTACGAATAGATATTTTTTTGCCAAATATGAATACTGTTAAAGTCTTATCAGTCAATAAATATTTCAAAGTTTTAATTATTTGTTTTATTCCAAAACACAGTCTGATATTTCATAAAATTACAACTCTGTCACACACACCACCACTCTGTCACGTTTTTGTCTCCCGGAAGTAAAATTGTTTTGACTTATTATATACTTTCTCTTGCATAGTACAACTTTAGAAAAATTAAATTGATCATAACGAATGATTTTTTCGGCTATGACGTTGATATTTCTTTGCAAGTAATAGTGAATCTTAATTTATATCAAAAATATCCATTATTTTATCTAAAAATGTGACAGAGTAGTAATGTTCATTAATTTACATATAACCCAATCAATATGCGCAACATATTTTATATATTATTCTAAAGAGCCATTTGTTTATTTTTGACACAAAAAAGTGCAGGTCATTTGTATCAAATTATTGAATGATATTAAATAAAAGATTTTGTGACAGAGGTGTACAAATTTACGTCAAACCAACATTTCGGGGCCACTAAATGTTTAAAAATTTATAAACTTCGCGGCCACTACTATTTTTCGATAGACTATTAATTCAGCCATCATAAAATGTATAAGTGTCAACGAGAAAACGATATAATTTTTTTAACAAATTCGTGGCAAATTTTTTTCACTATGTCGGTTAAAAAGGAGAACAACCCAATAGCCTTATTTATTCGACTAATTTTCAATATATTAAAGAACAACATCATTGCAAGATTTGAATATCATTTCACGATTAAAAATCTTGAGTTTTGTGATGAAGAAGACTTTCTCGTTTTCAAATTATAATAACACTTAGTCTCATATGAGTAACGAATATGTAACTAAGTAAAATATTATACCAGTATTCCGATATCAAGAATGAAAAACTTTTCCATTCTACTTTTCTGGCTCTTTTGACTCTATCCCCTTCGATAAATCTTTAAAAAAATGACATTGGATGGGTATTAAAAACAGGGTTATCTGAAGTTCGATTTAACACCAAATTATCAAAAACTCTTACAACTTGAAAAAACCCCTACCTATATTAGTAAATTTACCCTAAAATAGTGCAAAACATCTAAAAGTGGAAACACTGCACGGACGCATGGCACGCATTGGTGCTTCATAGACATTTTCGCACCAAGGAGTCGTGTGCCATTTCGTTTGTTCAATGACCCGGTCCATATGCAGTAGTATTATAAGTCTATGGTGATATATAATATTAATATCCTTACAGTCAACTCAATGGTGTACATAGTTTTTATAAAAAGTAAAATTCATCTTCAAAGAACCAAAAAGATTTAAAAAAATACATTCGAAAGTCACTTTACACAGCTTTAATTCTTCTAACCACTATGTTTTGCACCGACTTCTGAATGAAAAAAAATTTTGCAGCGCAGCTCATTTTGCGCTGGGTAATTTTTTGAGGCTAGGAATGCCACCATGTTTAACTTGCGTTCACTAACGTACACCTACAACCGTGTGAGTGAATTGGCACTCCACAATGCGATATAACCTCTGCCGTGTGCAGTCGACGGCTAAAACAACATTAACATGCAAAATACGCAACTGGCCGCTGAACTCGGGCCGCGAACGCTAGGCATTGAACTGTACTTCTTTTATGCACTGGCTTTGTTTCTATCAGTCACGGATTAATCTACTGCAGGGGTGGCGAACTTTTATGTATCAAGGTGCCATTTTTCTAAATAAATGTTTAATTAGGTAATAGACGTGCTGTGAAATAATTTACAAGTACTAAATACTATCGACTTAAAACTCTTTATTTGCTACAAAAAATAAATAAAAAGTTTTGAGACATTTATTGTATAATAATAAATGTTTCAGTTATACGCGTAATTCAAATTAAAGTAACATTAATGTGTGTGTAATGAAATGGTGTCCAGACGAATGGAATGGAGCTCAATATCAATAAATGTGTTCACATTAAATTCACTAGGAAATTGAATCCTATTCCATCCATCTACAGCATTAATGGGACTCGATTAGGAGAAAGGACAGTAGTAAGGGATCTGGGTGTGCTCATGGATAATAAAATGACATTTGTCCCACATATTGACTACATCATAGGCAGGGCGTCCATTCCTCAAAAATTGCGCTATACAATAGCTTGCTTAGATCGATCCTTGAGTATGGAAGTGTGGTCTGGCATCCTTCATTCCTTCATCCGTCATTATGATACTCACACACTTCGTATTGAACGCATTCAAAAACGATTACTAAAACACTTGGTGTTCTCACACTTCTGGCATAAAAGATTTAGCCCCTACACTACTTGAGTTCCTAAAGATGCAGAGCTTGGACAACCGCAGGGATATACTTGACCTATCCTTCTTTTTCAAGATAATAAGATATCAGTTGCATTGTCCTGCACTCCTGATAAAATTTAATTTTAAAGTTCCGTCACGAATGCCTCGTAAGCCCATCGAACCTCTCTCGTTCATTTCTCAAAACAGTTTTGGGAGCCAATTCTACGGTTTCCAGAATTTCCCAACTATATAATAAGTGCGGAGGGTCAATAGATGTTAATGTTGTCTCTAGCTGAGTTTAAGGTTACAGTAAACGATACATTATTTAAGTAACTAGGTGTAAGTTATTGTTTCATATACCTTCATAATATTATTTTGTTCTATTCTAAGTTTATGTTTTGTTTTTTTTAAGCTATTGCATAGCTTCTATCGCGGGCCTTGAGCGCGGGGACCGAATCCAGAAATTCCGTAACGAAAAAAACCTCACGCTCCCCACTCCGACGGGCACGGAGGTGTGGCGTTGAAAGCCGTGCATCGTCTAACGTCGTTTCAGTTCGGCAGACTTCGGCACGGTATTTGTGTGCGTGTACACTAGCTGCTAACTCAATGATAAAAATTCCTGAATAACCTACATGTATTGTAAGATATTAAAAATATTTTAAACAATATTAACTTCTCATTTATTCAATAAGGAAAAAAAAATAGTTTTCTTATCGGTCACCACGCTCAAAAAGTGTAACTTGATTTAATATCAAAGACTTAACTGCATAAATAAAATAAATAAATAATTATAATTGCATAAGTTGATAAAAAATGCTATGCAATAGCTTTACCGCGGCAGTCACCGAGTGCCACACGTATTTTTTTTGTTTTTTACTTGGTAACTTTTTAGTATCTTGAAGCATGTGGTGTATACCTTTAATTGATTGTACAATTAGTATATAAGTGATGTGTGTTTATTATTTCTGCATTGTTGTAACAATCGTTGGTGTACTTAAATAAAATAAATAAAAATAAATAAATTCTGTTGTTGCAGTTTAGATGACAAAAAAGTTATATTGGGGTTGTAAAATCATAATATAACACAAATAAACTTTTAAATACAGATGTGTCAATGCATTCATCGGGGGAGGCGTGGACTTGTGAAGGGCTATAATGATGATGATGATGATGAAACGAACTATGCGTCATTAGCAATGGTAGTCCACAATGTAACTAGGATCACTCGCATTCGTTCGTAATATAATACTTCATAGTGAACTTTGGGATTAGGAGCATGCCTAAAATATTGTGTCGCGTGCCACTGGTACGCCATCCCTAATCTACTGGTTATGCTTTAATCAGTATACAATTAATGTTGGGTCGGTGGTCAGATAGTATTACGGTGTGACAGTGTAAGTGAATTCACTTCGTCGTGTCGTATTGTCGTAAGAGGCGACTATGGGGAACATAGTGATCTCCGAATTATAGTTAAAGTTACAGCCTATATATGTACGTCTCACTACTGGGTACAGGCCTCCTCTCTGTTTTAGGGCAAGGAAGTGTCCACCGCGCTGCCCCAACGCGTGTTGGTGAATTTACATGGTAAAACGACTGGACACCCTTAATTTTTTAGTCTTAGTATAACATGACAACTTATTACCATAATAAAATTTAAAATTCTAATGAAATAACAACAAAATTGAGTGAATCAGTCTTCTTTATCATTAATCATTCAATATTTATTACAATATTAACTTCAATAATTGCAATAGTATGTAAGTAGTACATGAAAAGTTAAAAGAAGATCAAATTTAAAAAGCCCAGGCCACAATAACAAAAGCACAGGCTGTACGTCGTCTAATTTGGCCGGACACGCAATCAAAAAGCCTGACTGTGTCCGGCTTTATGGACGCCTTTTCCGGACGCCTGGCAACGCTATATGGAGGTATAATCACCTCGTTTCAGCCAGGAGTAAGTATCGTCAACATTAAGCAGCTAATATTACACAGGCGATCGCCACATTAAATTTGTTTCACAGTTTTCCATCTATATTAGAATTACTCGCCGCTCTTGATTTGGCCTAATCCCTCGGGGACTTATTGTAAATATAATATATGCATTTAATTTTAAAACATTGTCGCGTTGATAGTTAAAAAAAGTATCTCGAAAACTCGCCCTGGCCATTACCTTTTTTAGTAAAACTAGAATACGAAACGCAAATATTTCTCTACAATCCTGAAATAAACTTAAAGGTATTATGAGCGAACACGTTTCTTAACAAATTCTTCAAACGATAGTGATAACCGCATCAAAATTTATAAATTAGTTTCCAAGTTTTGAACAAATACACAGATATATACGAATAAACGACTTTGTTATAATACTAAGTGATTAATTATCTACGAGTTAAATATATATTTTAATTAAAAACATTAGCCCACACTAGCATTTTCTCCTGTACCGTA